GCTTACAACAACAACAACAACAACAACAACAACAACAACAACAACAACAACAACAACAACAACAACAACAACAACAACAACAACAACAACAACAGCAGCAAAAACAACAACAACAACAACAACAACAACAGCAACAATAAAAGTTTACTGTTTCACCCTCTGTTGCCGTTAAGGCAACTCTCTTTTTTTATAGTAGAGGTTTTACGGCGCTCGCAACTGCGTAAGCTCATATGAGCACCAAGGAGTGGATGTCAACAGAGAAGTCCTTACAGGGAATCAGGCTTACTCTGCTCACCTCTCTAGCTTCAGCAGCACAAAGTCTGCTTCGACTATCAAGGCACCCCGAAAAAAGCGGGTCACAAGAGTGTGACAAACGCACAAAAGAAGTAGAGGAAAGTGATGATAGTAAGGATTAGCAAAGAAAAAGCAGCAGTTCCCTGTTGTAGTTCAGGCACAGTTATGAGCGTGACATTGTTGAATCAGTCCATTTACAATTCTACTGTGCGTAAGAACGAGAAATGTCCTAAAGACACTTCAGTCAGTGGCACCACTCCGGAGGGTTAAGCCAACTCTGCAGCTCTTTCAGTTGACATGTTTTGATTTCTTGACTCCATCAATCTATCTTTTGCACGGTCTACCTCTTCCTTTGTAGCCTGAGTGCTTAATGCTAAAGGCTCTCGGGGCTGGCTGACGAGTTGACATGTAACAGGCAACCAGACCAATTTAATGTGACTGTTGACATTACTGGAATCAATTTTTTAAATGTGAGGCATCGCGGTGAAATCAGACACTCGTCAAAATAATGAAATCGAAGAACCTGGCATTTTACCGCTAGTTTTGCAATTTTCATCGAAATTTTGTTTTTTAGGAAACGTCTTGTATGTCCATTTAAACACACACACACTTCTGGGTGGATTTTACTGGAACACGTTAAAAAGTAAATGTTCAGTTTCGAGGGACACTAGGTCTACAGCTTTAGAAGTAATTAAAACTTTGGCACCATTTTCTCACTAACTTTATAACCTCTGACCCTAAGCGACTCCCGCATCTTTCAATAGAAATTATCCCGACATCTATTCAAGATAGATAGGTATTTCTTTCATCAAGCGAAAGACAAATCAGCAAGCTTTACTATGATACCAATAACTCCACATGCTCGAAAATAAATTGACGAGCGCCTGATTCCATCGCGTTGTGATACAAATGTCTAGCGGGTGCGAATGTCATCAATATATTATTTTATATTTGTGAAAGTTCGTCACTTTTGTCACCTAAAACTTCCGAACTATTTAACTTTCCAATTTGAAAAAAAAAAATAAAGGTGGTTCAGAATCATTTAAAGGGTATATGATTATATTGAGAAGCCTGAAGTCACTGTAGTTTAATTTTCAGTTTTTCCATTAGTTTCGGTTAGATCTAATTCGGTGAAAGTCCGTCTTCTAAGACGCCATTGTAAACAAGTGAGGCTTCCTTTCACAAGCAGTGTCAATGACTTGACGATCGACTCTATTGAGTCTGTTCATCAAACGGGTACCTAACTATAGTACGGTAAAAAATTCGTGGCACAACTTATCCTCAGATATCTCTTTAACGGGTGAATCAATGTCACCCATACTTTGCACAGCAGTTTGTATCAGTTTGTCTTAACTTAATCATATTTTTCCACAACAATGGAGACTAGATCTAGATTTAAAAACTTTTTTTTCATAAATGTATACAAAATATTATAAATCTCCACCACGCGTAAAGTGGGATTGTTCACAGCACTTCCCGCTTCTAGCACACATTATGTTTACGCATATGGCCTTCGTCACAGCTCACCAATGACACATTTTGGTGACAAAACTTGTTACAAGAAATTAATTTTAGAGTGAACAAATGTTTTGAACTAAAGGCTCTCAAAACATGCGTTCAATAAGCACAATGTCGCGATTAGAAAAAAAAAGACAGACTTGCATATAAAAGCGATATTTCTCCAGCTGTAAACCTTTTAATATCTGTAGAAACAACCCATTGGGATTTTTTATTATAAGTATTAATTATCAAGGAATTTTCTAGAATACAGTTTACAGGTGTTCACAAAAAAAATCAAAAAATCTAATAGGACAAATTGATACAAGTCACCGTTCAAAAGGTGGAGAGTTTATGTTCGATAGCTGGGGAGATATTTGACAAGTTGCGCCACGAATTTTTGACCGCACTATAGTGTGTGTTTATCTCTTTGTCGACGTTACGGACACACGTCCGATCAGCAGCAAACCAAAGCCAGCCAACGATGTTGCTCATTTTGAACCATCATACACAAAATCCAAAAAACGAATTTGCATATTTCATAGCTCGCATATTGCTGCCTGTTATGTAAGTTTCAGATAAAGGAAGCAGAATTTAAACATATGTATATTATTATGAATAAGGGAGTCATGTCTATTTTTTAAAATTATCCCAAAGCTACACGCCCCCAAACGTGCAAAATGCGCGTCCTCAATGAGTTAAAAACGTGTCTGGCCCACCTGATGAGGCTCTGTCACGTGATAGTGACCGTTGGACGTGCCGTTGGCTTGACCGTTGGTCTCTGAGGGTGACGTCTTAATGTACCTGGCAGGGGCGGGAACTCTTTCCTCTCGCCTACAGACCGGAGGGAATAATGAGATAAGAATAAACAAACAACATTTTTTTCTAATTAAGGAAATAAGAACAAAAGAAGGAATTGTTCAGATAAGAACCGAATAAGGAAATCAGAACAACTACCAAAAAAAAAGAACTGCTCAGAAAAACAAATAATCAGATAAAAACGAATTGAGGAGATAAGAACTAATGAAGGAAATGCACACACAAAGAGGCGTACCTATGTGTTATTTTGGCTGTCACTTTGTTCCAAATCCTCCAAAACTCCGGAGACTTATTTTGCTTTACTTACTTTTCCGATCCAGCGGCCATTTGGGTTCTAGCCCTTCGGTCTGAAAGTCCGGAGACAAATGTTCCCCCTTACACACACATGCACACACACACACACACACACA